TATTTCATTTCATTTATTTATTAATACTCAGTTGGTTCACACATAGTATCAATGTTAAATATGTATAATAATAAAATAATAATATTATGATTATTGTTATAGTATTATTATTATTATTATTATTATTATTATTATTATATTATTATTATTATTATTATTATTATTATTATTATTATTATTATTATTATTATTATTATTATTAGTGCTTTTGACGTCATCGTAATCGTGTCACCGAACCGAATTTATTGGGTACTTCAAACCACAAGAGCAACAATGCAGAAACTATTGCACAAAGCCAAACAGTAGTATCATAGGCCTAACCATCATTCTCGTCGTCGCCGTCGCCTGATAGAAGGTAAACGATTTCAAGGCATTGTTATCGCCCCAAGACAAGATCAGATGATGGGAAACATAGTTGAACGTCAATAATAATGTCAGACAGTGTTAACTCTTGTTACAAACAAAAATGTTGTTTTTTATTGTATTTAATTGACCCTACTATCAATTGCCACGGCGCTAAGCTTTAGTTCCTTGGTATATTCAGTCTTTAAACAGTTTTCTCATTGGTCAGATTCAATCCGATAATTTTTCATTGTTCATTGGTTGACGAGGTGTCTTTGTTTAAAAAGGAGTTAGCAAATTGACTCTTAAATATACACCATGGTTTTGAGGATGGAGATATAGGCATATGGACATGAGTCACATGTGTTGGCAAGGTTATTCATGTGAATATTTTATTCAAAATGCGGCAAAACGAACTTTACCCGACTCATCGAACTTTTTTTCATAGTAGGCCTATCAGCAGAAGCAAGACCTATAACGTCTGCATCCAGAAAAATGACACTTGTTCCAGTATTTAATCATGTACTTCCTATGAACTCGGATTCCAAATTCATTGCGGTCATTACAAGTATTGTTTCTAAAATTAAATTTTAGACAATGGTCAAAGGGGAAGGATATTTTAACAATAAACCCGCCTGAATTACGAAATCAGAATAAGTGAGGAGCAGAATTACTTTTTATCAATATAACATTATTAACAATTGGGAATTAGGCCTATTATTAAAATTACCAATATCATATTATCATTTTCATTATATCATCACCATTATAATCGTTGTCACCATGATCACCATCATAATCATCATCATTCATTACCAAAAACACTATATATTTATCATTATTGTTACATAATGTGGCGCTATGATACTCTCTTGTAGTTGTTAACTCCAAGCTAAAGCTACTAATGCTCCTTATTTAATTACTGTATTTAGGAATTAATTAAAAATTTACTTAGGCCTAATGATTGTACGCAGATAAAATTTAAATTGAGTTTTGGAAATTAATACGTAAAAATCTGATATTAATTTACATCAAATTAGACTTAATAAATTGTCCTTGGGAAAGGTTGCACGAAAAAAACGTTGATTTAAACAAAATTAATAAAGGTAAAAGAAAGATTAGCATCATATAATTGACGGCAGAAAGGTTATAGTATAAGCCTGAACTATATATAATACTATTACTGTAACACAAGACGGCTTAGACTGACCATAGAGAAAATATTTTCTCTATGGACTGACTAAACTATAATGCAGAAAACCCTGGATTTTTTCACTCTCGCAGGCCTACTGCTTTGCCTTAACGTTTTTAATGTCGGAGCGATTGGCGTAGGTTTGCGTTTCGGTCTCTCAACCTCCGCCGAGGTAGGGGTTGAAGCCTCCATGTATTTTTGGACAATAAACTTTACCTACCTCCACCCAGGAGTATGAATGGGTACGGTTAAAGTTTGTTTATCTAAATTATAAACTATAGGAGGGCCTTGGTGAGTGAGTAGCTATTATTTGGTGTATATACGCTCTCTATAACTTGGACTATGATGCTTGGCCAGAAACAAATCATTTGGGGGTGGGGGTTTGATGCTCTATATCAAATTCTCTTTATAAGGATTTGACAGTGTTTAACTTTAGTCGTGATGAAAATCCTGAGGAAGTGTCATGACCATTGTTTTTATCGGAAGGCAACCTCCAATTATTCTCCAACGACGCGCACACTGATTGGCGCCTATATAACTTTTCATATCCCAATAGGATGTATAAAGGGTTATTCCTTGCATATATGTTTATAGAATCAAAGTTGGCATAAACAATAAGGGAGCCTATGGATATTTACCATATCAGTACTGTATCAACGAATAGGGGGCCTATAACACAGACATTGTTATACTGCATAAACTAATGTAGGGCCTACATGTTATGGTTAGCCGGCCTAGCTCTTTAAATGGTACCGTACCATACCGTACTTGGGGTGTGCAATTACTGATTTCATCTTTAACAAATCTTGCAAGATATCGTATCCCTTATGATAGGATACTAGAGAGGGAACAGGTCCAGTTTCGAAACCAGATGGAAGGGGATGTGGTCAAAGATTAGGAATCTGTTTTAACTCTGCCGAGAGACAACGTGGATAAACTTACTAGTGCCTTGGCCCGACGCAAAGCCGGACATTACTGCGCCGCGACGGTCGTCGGCCGACCGACGCGATTTTGTAAGGAACGCAACGCCACGATGGGGGCGCGCGCAACGGATAGTTTTTAATGACGACCGTCTGGAATGCAACCGATAATCAGCAGGTGCCGCTTCACGCTTCGTAGCGTTCACGGGGAGCGGAGTTGGATTCATCGGCCGAAGGTCGTACCCGACGCATGAGTGCCGGTTAAAGTTCGAATCGCAACTGCGGCGCCAAGCGCTCCTAATATAGGCATATACTTTTATTAGACAGATCAACTAAACGGGATAAAAAACAAATTAGTTAGCCTAATGTCTTATTAATACTGCCATGCAAACACGATAAGAAATTATATACGTCGATAAATTGCTTCATACAAGGCCTACCTATAAATATTTCGTAACTGTGTTGTATTTATGACTTCCATATTTACCTATTCTTATAATATTTGTAGGCGTATCTGATACCGTATCTTATTGATTTAAATAGTTGATAGATCTATAGGCCTATTTCTTTATAACACTTTAAGAATATCAACATGGGTATAAATTCAACTGCAGATATTATAGGCTAATGACGTTTAAACCCTGCTCATACTCCATAATTATTTCGTTCCACATAAATCCAAATTTAGCATCTTGATACTCACTCCAAAGGCCTCGATGTTTGTTTTCAGCCAATTAACTTGCATTATGGCCTATAAATGAAATAAATATTGTGACCGCTTCTCATCATTAATGATGGTAAGATCAGTATACTATACAAAGGGGGAAATACAGTATTCGGCAGGCGTGACACCAAAATCTACCAGACAATTGGATGTCCCCGAGAGCGAGATGGGCGTGGCCGCCGTGTGTCGCTCAAAATTGAAGTGGTCCAGGGGCGAAACCCAAGAAACCTATTCTAGAGCCTACTGATATTGTAAAAAAAATACATAGAATTTGATTTGTAAATCTTGGAGGTAACGCCAAAGAAATAATGAAAATGTTCTTAATTGCTTTCCAATAGTACCGTAGCTATGTGGATACATCGTTCATTCGGTATTTATTGACACCTGCACAAAGCGATAGGTAGGCCTAAAGGATATAAAATTATATTAAATATTCGATATTATGACCCAACGAGTAAAAACCTTTATGGCCCTTCCGATCCGTCACCGGCATACGTTTAGGCCTATCCTCTTTCACCTCTTAACATGACTTATGTAATGCTGTTGAGTGTAATGATCGTACGATATAAAACCCAATAGTCCTACACAATCAACTCGATAATCTAAAAATGGCACCAAAATTTGATAAACCCGCGCTGCTGTTTAGATTTATAAAACGTATTATGTGTATTGGTCAATTGATAGCCTGTGGTTTAATAGCGAAAATGATATGATGAAAAATAATCAAAATTATTAAATGGAGAATACAAATACGGTATCGTAGCCGAATTTAATTTAATTTAAATTTCGATTAATGATACTTTATTAGAATGCAATTTCTCTTCGATTTCAGAATACAATCTACCAACCCACCCCATTGTCAACTACTTCCTCCGTGCTCGTAATTCAATGAATGGTCCTACATGAAATATGGGCGCAGCAGACGAAACTGGTTTTACCCAGTGACTTTGTACGCTATTTTTATTAAATAAAAACTTCTTCGGACCGGGATTGTAAACATTTCAATTTAATTTTTAAAGTAATTATTTTGTTGATTGAACCTTAGGCTATTCTTTAATCCGATTGCTTACAGTATATTATAATTAATGGATCGTATCTTATTTTTGAATATTCCGTTATAGATAACACAAATACTATTATGCCTTCATATTACAGTATAGTGCTTGAAAT